CTTCTCATTCTAAACAGTGCTCTATTAAGGCCTTGACATATATCTTTGTCCCAGTCACGGTTTCCACCTTTTCCTACGGTATGGAATCCAGTGTCACGGGCTCTTAAAATCCACAGAGGACTCCAATGTAAAAGCAAGGCATAGGCTGCTTTTAGCACTGGTAGCTATAAGTGTATTCCAGTGGTTTAATGCTTGATACAGCCCCACGAATGCTTAAAACAAAGGCAGGAAGCAAACACTTTAAAGGGGCTGGAAAATCATACATAAAATAGGATTATAAAAGGTTCTGTATGGACTTTAAGTGGATGTCACTGAGACATTTCACAAGTACCAAAATCCATCACAGCCTGATAAGAACTAACCTACTATGTGTGAGTGTAAATATAATTTTTTAAAAAAGGTTACTTTGTGCTCATAAGGAAAACAAATCAAAGTTTGGTTTGGCAGAAATAACTATCTCCTTAGAATCAGGTCTTTATGGTCACAAGTCTTAACAAAATATATCATCCATTAGCAGAAACGGCGGTGGTATCAATAAAACATCAATGATTTGCATATTCACGGAGAAAGTCAGATTTGTTTTAAACCCCAGTTACTTTGGCAAACAGAAGGAATGAAACACTTAATTATTGGTGGCTGCACAGAACTGCCCATGGGTCATAGAACAACATGTCCAAAGCCAATTTCATCAAGTGTAGACTTAAAGCACTGGGCATGCAGGCAGTGGCAGGGGGGTGGGGGCTAATAAGGAGGCTGTCTCTTCTCCGTCTCTAGAAGGGTTACCAAACCATAACATCAGTACAGCTAATAACTCTCTGAGCTTTCAAAAGCATTTTATGAGCAAATTGGGTCAATTTATTTACATTTTAAAAATCTCAATCTTTTTGTTCTAGGAAAAAGAAATAGTCAATTTTTTTATATCAAATGTATATCGGGAATCAATATTTACAGTTTGCTCAGCTGAATCAAGCACAAGAAAAAAAACGCCTGAGCCTTCACTTTGGAATTGTTCTGTTCATTGCTAACTATTTATGGAATTACATTGAACTGTGCAGAATCTTCCTTGCCTTGGGAGTAAGTTGATGGGAAAAAAGTTCTCTGGGGAATGGTGAATCCATTAAATAAGTGAGGAAGAAGAACTTTAAATATCTCTTCTCTCCTTTCTTTTCCGTTCACGTTCATGGATTTCCACATGCATTTTCTACAATGAGCTAAACATGGGGCTAGGTGATTTACATTCATTATTCAGCTAATTTTCATGTAGACTCAGCAAGACGAATATTACCCCTATTTATAGAAGGGAAACATGTTTAGAAAGGTTTTAAGTGATTTTTCAAAATGTCTCAGAGCTTTTAAATTACATCATAAGGACATCTTTAGGTCTACCTGACCATTTAACTGGGTTTTTTTTTTTATTTTGCCCCCCACAAGTGCATGCCACTCTTGATAGTGACATCTTATCTTCTTTTCACTCCCTTTTCCTTCAGCCTGTTGCAAAGCCTGTACATGGTAAACTGGTGACAGATTGGAATAACTTTCAAAATAGAATTGAGTGTTCTTTCATACCATTCCTAGAGTTGCATGACTGTCTAGTTTCCAACACTGTCTGGTCACTAGAATCCAAGGAAAAGTGGGTGCTTCTCATGGGTTCAGTGAATATACTTTCCCAGTCCCAAATAAGGCCAGCTAGGCCAAGAAAACACATGGATAGAACAGTTACAAGCAAAGCTTAAAAGTATTTCTGGACCGCTCAGTCTCTCTGGCTGAGACCCATATTCAGGGGGGCCTGAGTCAGTCCCATGCTGGCTTCCCAGCCATCAGTCTGGTGGCCCTTTAGCTCCTCCTTGTTCAGGTCAGCTGTCTCTATGTGTTTCTGCTGCCTGGTCTTGTCCTCTCCATCTGCATCTGAATTCTACTTTGACTCAGTGTTTATGTATGGGTGTTTGCTTCTGTTTCCAACAGGCATTAGTTGAGGGCTCCCTGGATAAGTTAGTTGTTGATCTCACTCTCCAGGAAGGGCATTTATGTTAGCCTTTCCATGGAAGCTCAAATTGTTATTTGGCAGCAGTCTTGTAGTTCTCTAGACCTTTCTTTGTGTTCAATTTTATCTTCAAACCAATATTGACTCCCTCTTTTATGTTCTCTCTCTCTCTGTCTCTCTTTCTCTTTCCTGTCTTCTATTCCTAACCAGGCTCAAGCTTCCTGGTTGCATATGTTTTCCTTTCATCCCCCTCTTTTTTTCCTACTTCTCTCTCCATTCGCTGCCCCCCCCCACTTCCCCTGAGCTCTGGGGGACTTGTCCCTTCCCAGTTCTGTGACCTTGGGCGGTGGAGCCAGGGTGTATCCCTGGTGCACAGGGGGGCTTCGCTAGCATATCCCCCATGGAGGGATAAGTGCCTTGATCTGGAGCCAGGAGAGAGGCCCTGGTCCCTGCTTCACATGACCTGTCAGACCTGCATGGCCCCAGCTGGATGGCATTCCCCTACACGTGGAGTTGGGGTGGGGGGATGGGGGGTGTTTAGAGTGCATGTGAGAGGGCAGAGAGGGTAAAAGGGAGGGAAGGAAGGAGGGAGGAAGGGAGTGAGTGAGGGAGGTTGGGAGGGAGGGAGGGAGAAGGAACTGGGATCAACATGTAAAATAATAAATTAAATTAAAAAAAAATGCTTTGACTCCAAAATTTAAGTTCAAGGACAAGTTACTGGGGAAAAGGATTTCTATTTTTGTTTCCACAGAAAATGAAAAGATGTGGATTCCTTCCAGACTAATGTGGTTTGATCACACCAGACCGCCTGAAACAGAGTACCAGGTGATCCTACATTCAAAACAGCTGGACAAAGCAGCCTTACAGACTACAGCCAGGATTTCTGAATCTTTTTCGAATCCCCCATGACAGCACCCCTTACCAGCAGGAAGTAGTTTGGAAAGAACGATGCCCAAATTCCCAAATATTGTCTATAAATGTTTGTTTTCATTTAAAAAAAAAAAAGTATTTCTGGTGTCTAGAAGAAAAGGCTGGCTCAGCATGGACTGGCTGGTTAGTTAGAAAGAGGCCAATCATATAAACAGGATAAAGTTAGAATCAATCCTCATTGGTGGAATTCAACAGGTGGTCTTCCTGGCAGGTCTTTTTGTCATAGTTTTAGTGTAGGCTTCCTGACCATTTTTGCTTTACTAATCTGCGAGTAATTGTCTTGGTAGAAGCTTATGGATTTTAAGAGACATGCTATTAGTTATGAGTTGTGATCTCAGGCTAGAAGATAGAAGATGCCTTTTGAGATTAAAACTTGTTTCCTTTCTTTTTTTCTTTCTTCTTCTTCTTTTTTTATTTCTTTTTCTTTTTTTCTTTTTCTTTTTTTCTTTTTTTCTTTTTCTTTTTTTTTTGCTAGTAATTAGTCATCTAGCTATGTACCTAAAGAGAGATCAATTATGACTAGGGAACAGAAGAGAGCAATAAATGCATTATTGAGACCAGTTGCCTTACAGAGCCATTTCTTTAATTCTTAAATTCTGCAGGTTGTTAATTACTCAGCAGAAGGCAGGAAGCAAAATAGATGTAATCTGTTTAGTGCCTCTAAACTTTGAAGACTTAGGGGAGGAAATCCATAGAAACAACAGATTTGATGTGTTCTTTCACTGTTGTTTCTTAATGGGAAAGGTAAGGAAAATTATTCTGATGCGCAGTTCCACAGGTCAGAGGTGGACTTGATTAAACACATGAAGGGCTGACCTACAAATGGTGAGAAAATGCCCCTTCTTTTCCACTCAGCCCTGCAGGCAGCTGATCAATGAGCATATCTCATTTCCAGATTGTTTTGTGAGATGAGTGTAACAGCCCATAGCATTCATTAGGGCATTCACTCACATGTGTTCTTTTCTAATCAGTGTAGGGACTAGGACCAGAGGCTGAGCATCAAGGTGGAATGAAAAGGAGAATTAGAGGAGGCCTCTTTCTCTATATTACAATTACAAAAGTTTCAGCTGCAAAAACAATTAGACAGTTACTTCACAGATTTCTTTGCATATATGGAAGGCCACATGTATTAGGCTTGAATATGGATTTTGCAAACATAATGAGAATACACTTAACTGGTGACTAAGGGCAATGGGTATTGCATACCAACGACAAAACATAATAATGTCTTCATTATAATGACATAAACAACACCTTTGGAACTTTCACTGTGCCTGAGTTTTAAGAGTTTATTTGAATTTGTGCCTCTTTGTGGTTAGGAACAATCTCATGTTCTTTATGCATAGGAAATATGCTTCTGGTTTCCAGTAAAGGTATATATAATCCAAGGGCTTCTGACTCACCTCTACACTAAGCAAGTGCTTCTTTTTTATTTCTTTGACTTACCCTCATGATCAACTACACATCTCTGAATAAAGCTCATTGGGTTAGGATGTGAAAGCTATTATTATTATTTCAGAGGAAACAGGATCATTTGAGGATTAAACCTCCAATTATGTAGTAGAAAACTGAGTTCTCTAACCCAAATGATTTTCATTTGTTTTCTGTTTGACAGTCTTCTAATTAAGTTTGTGATTTCATCAGGCACTATTTCTTCATTCAATGTCAACCAAGCTGCTCTCACTCAATGAATCATTACTGATAACAAAGAAAAAAAATCTAACCTAAAAATTATAACTGTTCTGAAAATGTATTGTTTTACTTTGTTAAAGTAATTGTGAAATAAGGGTTCCCTGGATAGATCACTTTACCACAACACAATAAAAATGCACTTTCTTCCCATATCCTTTCTTTCATCCATTTCTGCAGTTTTATACGAAAGAATATTAAAGGCTCTTGTTAGAGGGACTGAGAACAAGGCACTTCAAGCTCAGAGCAATTTATACACTAAAACTCAGTGTCTCTGTGTTACTTGTGCTAAGAAAGTTTGAGTTCTGACCAGTTTGGTGGAATCATTAAATGGTATTTTCTCCCCCCCCCACCAGCCCTTTTTGAGGGAATAGGAAGTACCTGAATTTTCCTGACTTACCCTGAGTGGGTTTTCATTAAGGTAAGGGGGTTCACCTTCCACCATTTCAATAGCCATGATTCCCAGAGACCAGATATCAACTTTTGGACCATAAGCTTTTCGCGTTACCACCTCAGGTGCCATCCAATAGGGAGTTCCCACCATAGTGCTTCGTTTACTTTGCTCAGGAGTGATTTGAGCACAAAACCCAAAATCAGCTGTAGAGAAGAAAAGTCAATGAAAATGAGCCCAAGATTTTTTATTTTTCGCAATAGCTTATTTTCCTATCTGACTAAACTTTCCTTTAATGTTAAAATGAGCTCTTGCAATTGCCTTGCTTACATCTAGATCATTACTTGATCTCTCAGCTACTACTGATATTAAAGGGGTCTGTAACAATTGACAAATGTGATGCCATTTTCAGTAGACTTCCATTATCATTCTCTCCTAATACTTTCTCATACAGTTACAGAATTTCTCCATTTATTGGTTAGTTATTTGCCATGTGGATGCTACTAGACATACTGAAATATTAATTCCAAAAAAAACTTGCTCATAGGCTATAAGAATAGACTATCAGACAGGTTCTTTAATTCAAATTAAGCTCTAGCTACTTTTAATTAAATCACTTTGAGTAGTCATTATCTTCTCAAGATAGACAGTAGGACAATAGAAATTCTCTGATACTTTCTTAAATATCTGAATCAAAATACCTACTCAATTTAACAGAACCATCCATCCCGAGGAGAATATTGTCACTCTTTATGTCTCTATGGATCACTTGGTTTGAGTGCAAGAAATCCAAAGCTTGGAGGCACTATTGAATCAGAAAAAAAGGTTCTAATTATATCACAAAGAATTGTTTTAAATTCTCTATCTCATATCCAGGCAAAATTTGAGAAAGATTGTGATTTGATATTATTAAATAAAATAGATTACTGAATGCTTGTACGCCATTTTAAAACCACATTACTATTTATATCAGTGATAATACTTAACCTTATATATTTTAGGGCTCCCATGTCACACTATAGACTAAATCATGAAGAGGATAATACAACAATCTGTACTAGTCATTATTGCAGTCCAGCTAACCAGTTAGCATAGTCATGCTTTGGTCTAGGTTTCTAGGTGGTATGGATTCAGTTTGGTCTTGTATAGATGTTGTAACCCTCTGTGTACATGGTGAAGTTTGATTTAGTAGATTTGGCACAGGAAATAAGAATGTGCATATTAAATAATTTCTGATGGGCTATTTCTGATGGACAGGTTTGAAGATGGCTCCCAGTTCTAAAGTAACTAAAGTACCTGTTTGGAAATGCCATTGTCTTATAATATTAAATGATAAAAAATACAGGCTCCAGTGGAATATCCTACCATCTGAAAGATTAGTTAATATCATTTAACTTGGTTGCACAATCATTGGTTTCAATTTTCTATTTCACTTCGTAGAAACTTTCATAATGAGACCCCATTAGAGAATATATGTTGTAAAACTAACATTGATCAACATCACAGGATAAAACATCATCAAATTGGCTAGAAACTAAAGGCAATAATTCTTATCTCTCTATATAAATGACAGATCCTCAGGCTCACTGGAGGGAAGACTGTTTTGAAATTGATTTTAGAGCCTGTGAGATATGTCAACAGGTCACAAGGTTTACTGCCAAACTTTACAACCTGAGTTTAATCCCAAGGACATACAGGATGGAAGTAGAGAACTGAGTCCCAAAAGTTGTCCTCTGATATCATATGCACACATAGTACACACATACACACACACACACACACACACACACACACACACACACGCACACACACAGACACACACACACACACACACACACAAACACACACACACAGATAGAGAGAGAGAACCCAAATAAACAAATAAATGTTAATTTAAAAAAAATACTTTCTATAAAATAATGGGCATATAATGCAGTCTGTATCTTGTGGGACTCATATTGAACATGCAGAAACAACATTTATCTTGTAAAAATTCCCACAAATCATAAAAAATTCCATATGAACACAACAATTGCCATGTTCATTGAAACTACTATGTAAAAGCTTAGATGCAGCAAATCCTGTATGGCATATTAGAGCTGAAATGAGCCACAGAAAAAGCAACTAATGTAAATAAGGGTCTAGCAAAGGTGATGCAAGGACATGACATTAAGTCCTTTCAGTAGAGGAAATATGCTATTGTTATTTTGATGCTCAAAATATTCTGAATAATCAAAAAGCAAGTGTTGACAAATTCCCACAAATTTCTCACACGTAAGAAATATTATGTTCTTACCTCTCTACAGACAGCTGCTATCTGTCCTTCATCCATACAGGTCTCTGTGACCACATCAGTCAAAGAGCCACCAGCCAAGTATTCCATGACTACCCACAGTTCATCACCCACTAAGTAGCTATAATAAAAAAAGAAAAATACTTTGACTTTGGACTAATATTCTCATGGCTTATTTGTGATGAAAGTCAATAGTGTTACACCCATTATCTTTAAGTGATTCTTGAGGAACAATCTCCAGTGCTCAAATATAAGAAGTGAGGTCACTGGATATCCTCCCAATACAGGAAAAAGTAGGATATTACTCAAATCAATTAGCACTATCTTCTTATAGGGAAAGATAACCTCAGTGACTCCATCCTGCCTTAATACCCAAGCCACTAGACCTGATATGGTGGCACACATCTGTAATCCCATCAAGTTGGGAAGACAGAGTATGTTGGCTAGGAGTTCAAGGTTGACCTTGGGAATGTATAAGTTCCAGGCCATCCTGAGCTTCAGGGATATCTTTAAAAAAGCAAGCAAGCAAGCAAACAAACAAACAAAATCTACCTTACTATGAAGCAAGACTTTCTATTCTATGTTGCTTAAACTATAGAACTTTTGGGATCAACTTAGCAGATCTCTTAAAATTCAAATTTCACAAGTTCCATTTTTATTAGTTATGGACAAAAGCCTAGAAATGAGTCCCTTTAAAAGTACAAATGCAAGTTATACAAAACTACTAATGCACAAATCAAATTCATGTCATACTGTTGCATAATTGACATATGGAACACTGTGAGAAATACTGATTAAACTTTAAAATTCAGTGGTCCTTTTATCCCTTCCATATCAATGTCTATTGGCATAACATGGACAGTAATATCTTAATCTCATGGATGTTGAGATCTAGCTTTATTTCCTTTGTACCCTATCAGAGAACTCAGCACAGTGATGCCAAGCAAACAAGTACTGAAACTAAGAGAAAATGTTAAACACAAGAGAAGACTTAGCACTGTCTTTAAGTGCCCATTTGTAACACACTTTTAATACCACTGATGAAAGAGACATTAATTACCTGCTTTAGGAAAAAGATTTAAGATTAAAGTCTCAATTCCCTCAAGCTCACTGTCAGTTAATCATAAAGCATCCATTAAAATAGGGCTATTGCTGTCTGTTTTCTTCTATATGTAATAGTTCATTTCCTGCCAACACAGAGCCTCCATCCTAAAGAAATCACACAAACTAATGATGTTTAGAACCAAGTCCATAAAACATATTTTCAAGTGTTTGATGGGTAGACAAAGATATACTTTTGCTTTGTATCATTTCAGAAATATTTGTATATGGTTATCAAAGTAATAAATTTCCCATAATTAATCTGACAAGAAAATAATACCTTAGAAAGAAAATACATAACGAATAAGAGAAAGTACTTACCTATCTAAATAGTTAACAATATTGGGGTTCTTATTTTCCCTCATGACAAGAATTTCATTAATAATTAATTCCTTTTTGGGTTGCTGTTGAAGGTTCATTTGCTTTATGGCCACCTGAATCATAAGTAAAATACAAGAACAATTTATTATTATTAAAATATACATTAACATAACTACAGAATTCATTATCTACTGTTTTATTTTCTGTTCTACAAATTTGTAGATTTTCTTTAGTCAGTCATGACTGTCCTTTTCAGATGTTTTGCACACAAACAATTTAAACTTCCACTGTAACCTAGAGCTATGCTCTAGACACACATGCCATCAACAAGAAAACTTGATAAACACAAAGGGAAAACTAATAAAGACAAAATGATAGCACATACCTCTTGTCCTGTCGCAATGTCTAGTGCTGTATAAACAGTACCTGATGCCCTGGAAAAATGAAAATTACTCAATGAATAAGCAATCAAGAAGTTACCCATATACTTTCCATTTATGAATATGAGATTCATTTTGGGCGAGTTAAGTTAGCAAGCTCTTGATTCGAGGATGAGGCAACACAGGTGCATCTTCTTAACAGTTACTGAGGTAAGAACACTTAATTTTAGATCTACTCTCTCAGCAAAGTTATAAGTTCACAGTATCAAAAGAACTGCCTTATATAGTAATTACATCTGACACAATCACAGTGAATCTTTGTGGTGGACTAGGAACTCCCATTAGACTTTGGCACCGGTTCTTGGGTCCCGCACTATGCATTCATGAATTTAGCATACTGGCCTTGCTCTTCTCAGGGAAGCCCCGTAGTATTCACAATATTCCTTATATATTAAAACAACCAATATTTCAGGACTCTGATTAATCTGAAGTAAACTTCAGAAAAGAACAGATCATCTTTTGCATAGGCAACTGTAACTCAACCATTATTTTTAGCATATGGACAGAGTATCTATTTTATGTATCTCTAAGCCTTCATCTAATACAGCAGTCACTTTCAGTGCTCTGTCACTGCTGTGCCTACACAAAGGAATAAAACGGGTTCTGTCTTTATTTTTCTTTTTTGCTCATTTCTCAGCAATTTCTGTGAGTTTTCACTCCTGCGAAATACCTCCTCTTTTTAATAAAATAATAAAGCATAAATTTCTTGAGTTTTTGTAAATTTATGCTTCTCTTGTAACTTTAAAAATGTATTGTCTGGTTGAATTTCCAGTATCTTTCTGTGAATAACACCTGTTTCCTGAAGGTCTTCCCACCATCATCTCCAGGCAAGGAAAATCTATTTCTTTTAGGGCAAGTAAAACAGCTAGGATAGATATCTGCTCAATGATCCATTTACTAGGCAATATAATGCTCTAAGGTTTGGGTTTTTAGTTTAGGTATTCTCTTTCTCTCTCTCTCTCTCTCTCTCTCTCTCTCTCTCTCTGTGTGTGTGTGTGTGTGTGTGTGTGTGTGTGTATCTGTATGTCTGGCTAGCTGTCTGTCTGTCTCTATCTCTGTCTCTCTGTGTAATCCAGGATGGCCTGGCTGTGTTCTTTTTACCCCAGCCTCCCAAATACTTGGGTTTCCATCATGAGCCATAACTCTAGGATCAGGAATTGGTTTCTTATATCAGACATTTCTTTATGACTCTTCTTCCTAGATGAGCCAAAATATTTCTCAAGAGCCTAGGATGCTTATATTACATATACCCAGAAAAGGAAATGGATAGTGTAGGGTAAGAAATATTTGACTAATAGCAAAAATTTAAGATTTCCACTAGGCTAGAAATTTCCCAGGGACCCCAGTCACAGTAAGTGTGTGTTGAATGTACACAGTGTTGATAACTTTATATATTTGATTTTATGTGATCCTTCCCATATCTATCTTACTCTCATGTATAAGACAGAAGCCTGAGAGTCAGAAAGACTGAGAAACCGATCCAGGCTGTACAATTTACAAACCAGATTCTGCTTAGCTTTAAAATTGGTTTTTGAAATTAAGTTAAATAATACACCCAACTGCTAGGTGTTACCTGAAAAAGCACTTGGAAATTCTCAAAATGTTTTATGCTTGTATTAAACAAACCCATCTTCAATATTATAGATTGTACATTCAGAGCTCATAGTTTATGCCCCATAATTTTTGTTGAACACATCAATAATATTCTTAAGAAAATTTTCAATTGCAGCAAGATCTTTCCCTTCAATAAAGAAAGTATTTCATCCTATTGATTGTCACGAGACACTACCTCCTCAGAATAAGTGATCAGACATTCCTGAGTTTGGGGCCTGTGTGTGATTTATCCTCTTGAACTCAAGAGTTAGGTTGAGTTCAGAGGAATTGATTGTCTCCACCTGATGCATATTTCCACAGAAATAAGCTCCAAGGGGATCTTCAAATCTAATTCCAAACTATGTTTTTTTTTTTAATTCTTTGATTGCTTTAACTTCAGATGTTTAACATACTTGCATACCTTCTGATGCAGAAGAATGACAGTATCTGTAAAAAATGAGATAGTAGCAAATGGCCCAACCTAAGAAAGAATATGGCCCTGAATTCAGATCAGTGTTGAAGACTAGTATGGTCACAACAGTCATTAGTCCTTATTGCTGCTGCAGTTATTCACTTCACAGCAGAGAAATAACTTACATACTGACCATTGATTGCTCTCTCGCAGTGCCCCAGTCCTAAGAACTTTCCTATCATATATTTACTTTTCAACATCAGGGTTTTAAGGATGATCTATTTGAACAATTTGTAGAGATATTTTTTTTTTTACCCTCTCCCTTGAGAAATGTTTTTTTGCAGTTTTCTTTTATTGTCTCTTTAAGCTTAGAACACATAATAAAAGTCATATGTAGGAACTTTCCTTTTATTCTCTATGGGTGTTCCTCCAACCATTGAAACCCATTTTTAAAAACTCTTCTTGTCTGTAAGTGCAAGAGGGATTAGTGTTTACCATATTTGGAGATTTACCTTTAAATCCTTTGGGTTTTTTTTTTTTTTTCTGTTTTGTTCCTACAATTCCTTCAGCATTTTACTGTCTTCAACTTGATAGAGTCCTAATCCTAAAACCCCAACATCCTAGCATTTACAACATACATTGCCATAGGCTCGCTACAAACACACAAATTTAAAGACCCTGAAATTCGAGAGCATGGGTTAGTGACCAAAAATGAACATTCTCCCTCCCTTGCCCTTCTCTCGCTTTACTAGATACTTTTGTTCTGCCTTAAAATGGATTCAAATCAATAACCCCAAGCAAAAATATTATTAAGTAGATAACCTTACTGCACCGATCAGTAAGGCACTCTTTGACCAACTTCTCTCTGGAAACTTCAACTAGAAATGCACAAATTCAGTAGCTCAGTACCCTATGACACTCTATGTTAGTATACCTAACATTTCACTGAACCCTAAGTCTGTTGTATTTTTTACACTTCAAGAATTGAAGGTTGATTTCTGACTCAATTATATGGTAGCTTTTTGTTTGTTTGTTGTTTTGTTTTCTCCAAGAGATCTCAATATCACCAAGATTCACAGACTAAATCACATTCGTTGCCCACTGCTGGGCTGAGAATAGCATTCCTTATGCCTATTATCCAAATCTCTGCTGGTTCAAATCCTACCACCTTCTAGTTATGTGAGTCTCTGCAATTTACCTTCGAAGGTGGATTAAATGTATGCTAGGCTTAAAAGGCATAAAGCCCTGGCACATAGTAACTGCCAAGTAGCTTAATAATTGTTATTTAATTGATTGCTCTCTAATATAGCAACTAAATATAGATAGTTAGCCTATAGATGACTAGGAAACTCTTTACATATCTGGGAGTTTTCAAGATATTTAATGTTTTGAAATTAATAGAAATTTAATATTTACCTAAGATAGAGGTGATTGAAATACATTTATTTCACTTCTTGGGCAGTTTATTATAATGTGACTTGAATAGCTTTGACTGATTTAAAATTTCTCAATACTTGAAATGTATAATTAGTTTTACTTAATGAAGTATAGGAACCATCATCAATAAGTACAGTTCATGGTCAAGATTACATAGCCTAGTTCATACAAACAGATAACTGAAGTTATTTATTTGTAGGTGGTTGTTGGTGGTAAAGCTAAACAGTTCTTTCTTTGTAATATTTGAAGCCTACAGGAAACTAGGAAACAATCTTTATGCTAATCACATGGCACAAAGATTCTAAAACGATGAGCCTTGCAAAGTGCTCGAGTATATTAGAATGTCTCAATACATGAGCACACAATAAAATTTTACTTCATCTTTATTTTAAAACTGTATCATCTATTGGCATTTTAGGATGTCATGATGGCAGAAACCAAACTGATAAAGATGGGGGATAAACCCCCATGGAGGGATAACTGCCTTATTCTAGAGATAGGAGAGAAGCCCTAGTCCCTACTTCACAGGACCTGTCAGATCTACATGACCCCAACTGGATGGCATTCCCCTACATATTGTATTGTGGTGGGGGGTTGGGAGGGGAGGGTGTTTAGAGTGCATGGGAGAGGGTAGAGAGGGCAAAAGGGAGGGAAGGAGGGAGGGAGGGCTTGGGGGAGGGAGGGAGGGAGGGGAGAGGGAACTGGGATCGACATGTAAAATAATAATAAAAAAAAAAAAAAAAAAAAAAAACGCTTTGACTCCAAAATTTAAGTTGAAGAACAAGTTACTGGGGAAAAGTATTTCTATTTTTGTTTCCACAGAAAATGAAAAGATGTGGATTCCTTCCAGACTAATGTGGTTTGATCACACCAGACCGCCTGAAACAGAGTACAAGCTGATCCTACATTCCAAACAGCTGGACAAAACAGCCCTACAGACTACAGCTAGGATATCTGAATCTTCTTCGAATCCCCCAAGACAGCGCCCCTTACCAGCAGGAAGTAGTTTGGAAAGAACGACGCCCAAATTCCCAAATATTGTGTATAAATGTTTGTTTTCATTTAATTGGACTTTGTTATATAAAATTAAATAAAAATACTCTATATGCATAAAAAAAAAGATGGGGGATAAAATTCCTTGTTCTTTGACATATTATGTTTGTCATGCTTAAGTGAACAACATTGACAATTTGATTTTTTTTTTTTTGCCAACAACTTAATTAAATCGATTCTTTTATCCCTCTATTCTCATTTTAATGAAGATATAATGCTGTAAGGGTAATATTTGCTCGTTATGGGAATTTTATCCATTAAAAATTTCAGTTCCTCAGATGATACAAGAAAATCATACATTAGTAAAACTGACTGGAAGACCAGATCATCCAGTTTAACTTTCTCATTGCAGATGGGAACACTGAAGCCCCAAGTGTGAGAAGTAGATGCCCAAAAGGAAACAACTAAGTAACAAAGTTCTCCTAACTATTAAGTAGAGCTTTTAATCCTCCAGCATGGTTAAAGAACATTAAACTAACAGATGGCTCAGCCATGGGGC